CACCACTTAAAGACTTTTATTTGAACTCCACGCCTGTATTTTACGTTTGTCAAATTTAGCGCCAACAATCTTTGTTTATACGAAAGATAATATAATCCTTTAATTCTTTTGGAAGATTTTTAAAATACTTATTCTGATTGGCGTTTGTCTTCAAAAACCCATTGTCAAATTGATCCAAAATATTTTAAATAAGGGAGGACTAAAGCTAAGAATAGTTTTTTAAACGAATTTAAATCTGGATAAGATGGAAATATTCTTTTTAATAGACCTATTAATTGTGTTACTTTGCTAATTTGAGTAGTTGAGTGTTTTTAAAATGATAAAATTGAGTCTACATGAACACCTAAATCTCGTTTGTAATTTTTATATTTAATAATTAATCTTGTATTTAGTTATGAATCATACATTATGCCCTAGGTGTAGTAAGTCACACTTTTCAATGTTAGTTTTCTTTCCTTATTTTTGATACCATATAAGGAGAAGGTCAATTTATGTAATTTTTGTTGAGAATATTTTTAAGAGACCGAAAAATTTTGGTATTGTCAGCAGTAGGTGCAGCTTTTGATTTGATTGCGTCTGGGTTATCGTTTACATATATTATAATAAAGTTAAAAGGATAGAGCCTTAAAGAACTCAACTTTCAACGGTTACCTGTTTTTAATAAGTGTCATTTACAAAAACTCTTTCAATAATTTTATTATCTAGTGATCGCGTCCTAAAATCAAGTTAATTTAGTTAACATGAATGACCTGGGTGAAACCCAGGTCATTCATTAGTCAGTTGTTATTAATTAGGTGAACGATAATATGTTTTTGATAGAATAAATAATAAATAATTAAGTGATAGAATAAATAATAAATAAATAAATCAAAAAAATATAAAATGAAAAAAAAGTTTTGAAATGATGTTACCTCTCAGTATTTTATTGTTTTCTGTATAATTAATATCTAATTGTTTTTAGGGGCTTCTTGTTTTCTTGGCCTCTTTGCATTTTATACCGTCTGACCCCTGTTGGTCTCCCAGTATTCAAGTTTAACAGTAGTTTAAATGAAAAAAGTATTTTAGTTGTTACGTGCGACTTTTAAATGTTTTTTTTTTTTGTATTTAAAAACTCATTTTACGTTATTTATTATACAAAAACCTATTGTTTGATGAAAAATTTAACTGCCTTTGATATAAAGCAATTAATATAGGTTTTACCTATATTAGTAGCTTATCATTGATATTTTAGGCTCGCAAATGCAAAGATGATTCTTTTTATGTAAATGGAAACCAATATCACATTTTAAGGAGATTTAAGTAAAAAACCAAACAAAGAATTCAATCCAGTATGGGTTTATTTACTTTATTCTAGATCACTCATTACTTTGTCATTAATCTCGTTAACTTTAGCAATCATTTTAAATTTTTTACTTTTATACTACTGATTTCATCGTGAAAGTCTGTGCGTGTTCTTGGGTACTTTATCAAAAGCATAATCGTCTGTGTCAATCAAAGATATGTCTTCCGTTTTGTTATGCACGATATCGGAGCAAATTTGCTCACACTAGGCTGTAGGAAGTAAGGCGTGTTATGGGTCGGGTATTAGTTGGGTATCAGTGGACCCGGACCCAGACCCGACTTATATAAACGGGTCTGGATTTGGGTTGGGCTTCAACAAACCCAACCCGGATCCAGAACCAATTTGATAAACGGGTTTGGATTGGGTCTGGGTCCGGGTTGGGTCTGTTGAAACCCAATCAGTTATTTCAAAAAATAAAATTGCGCATTTTTTGTTTAAAGATGTTCTAAGAAGTCTCTCTAAGAAGAAAAAATAATAACAAAAACCTTTTTCAGAAATAAATGATTTTACACTAACAATAGATAATAATAATTTTATTTATAAAAGTGTTAGACGTCATTTAAGTTCCGCACAAATTCTTGCACAAGTCTTTATATTTACAAAGGTCACAAGTATTTTTCTTTTTTCCTAAGAAATTAGAGCAGCTTTGTTTTCGTTTTCATTAATGGAGATTGCAGTACCGTTTTTTTCTTTTAGTCTAAAAACTAAAATTAGTAAATAAATTTAAGTAAACTAAAATTAAAGGATAAAAACTAAAAGACCTCGAAGTTTAGATTTTAACCAATCTTATGAGCTTGCAATGGCTTCCAATGTGCTTGGAATCTTAGAACTACGATATTTATTAAGAACTCTACCTTTTGTGCTAAAGACTGATTCAGAAGGAATAGTAGACAACGGAATCGACAAAATATCTCTTTCTAAACATTGTATAACTAGAAATCTGATTTCTACATGTCTCCACTTTTCAATTAGATGAGCCATTGATTTTCAATCAATGGCTCATCTAAGTACAACTTAGGGATGGCTGTTTTACTTACTTTTTTTTTACTTACACGAGTAAGTTAATTTTTATAAAAAAGTACATTACATAAGTAATTTTAAACGTTTAATGTAAACTTACATTTCCGTACAAGTAATAATTTTTTTTGAAACAACTTTTACTTTATAATGTAAGTTTTTTTACTTTCAAAAGTATAAATAAAAAGAAAATGTTATGTAAAAGTAAGTCATATCAAAAGTAGTTAACTTTTACATGTAAAATTAACTAATTAAAAAAAAACTTGCATATAAAAATAAAGTACATAAAAGTAATATGCTACCAAATGTAAAGTAAATACACAAATAAAATAATATTTTTTAAGAAGGAATTTTTCATTTTAAAAGTAATAAGAAAGTAAATTTAGTTATATTCTACAATAACTTTGACAGGACTTGTACAATAGTAATGCAAAAAAGTAAAGTCTAGAATTCAGACAAAGCTGAAACATGACAGTGAGAAGGCGCATGTACCCGTGGAAGACTTATAAAGAGTTGACTATTTGAAAGGCATAATCGGCATAATTGTTAATTCTTTTTACAGATTTTTTGCCTAAAAGTTTTTATTATTGAAAAAGTAAGGAGGGAAAGTTTAAACCATTTCTGGATTATGGTGGCTACAACTCCATGTCCCGCAAATTAATGAGCTCCGAAGAGGATGTTTTATTTTTTAGAGGATGTTTTTTTTTTGTTAGGTTTTTTTGCCACTTTAAAAAGAAAACAGGCCTCCTGCTCAAAAGTATATTCAGACCCTAATAATTTTATGAACTACGGTTTTTTATGAGCATGACAAATTTAGAGCTATTTATGTAAATACCTTTATCTGCGTGTAATATAAGTGGCCTAACTGCAGCAAGGCTAGTGTAAGCAATGATTCATACGTAGATTAAGAAATAAAACTTATGGTAATGGAAGCCTGGAAAAAAAAAATACCCTTAAACATTTACTATCCCTACCCCAGATGTGAAGGCAACATTTTAGTAAATTTTATTTAAATTTTCTTACACTAAATTTAAGTTGATAGGTTTTAAAATTCAAAATTCAAATGTAAGTAAATTATATATTTTTAAATGAGTTATGTGAAGTAACTTACGCTTAAAAGTAATTCGCGATTTTACATCAAAATAAGTAAAAGTGCCATCCCTAGTAGAACTGTAATTGATTTTTTAGTTTCAAAGAAGAAGATTTTAAGGCAACATGTTTTTTAAACTTCTCAATCCTGTTTGAATATAAAAAAAACCCAAAAGAAGTATACTAATTTGAAATACTTTCCTTTAGCACTTGAGTGTTTACCTTGTTAAAATATTTAACAGCGTACTAAAAATTATCGTCACTGACGAGTTTAGTTTATTAAACTACTCTTTGAGAGTTCTAACCATTGCGTCACTTAATGAACATATACAGTCGTGTGACAATTTATTATGGCCACCCACAATTTTTTACATTCTCAAATTTCAAAGTCTATTATTTTAATATTTTTTTTTGTAATTTATGTACTCAAAAGTAATTTTTATTTAAGAAATGGGTATTTTTTTGACAAATAAAAAACATTTAACAAATTGTTAATAAAATTTTGTTATTCAAATATTTCTACAAATATATTCAAGATTATTATTTGGTGATTCCTCAATATGTAAAAAGAAAAAAAATAGGAGAAAAAATATTTCTCCTATTTTTTTTCTTAAGAACATTATAAACATTTACTTGATATATATTAAAAACATTCATGTTAATTAAGAGTGTCCTTGAGTGAGTAAAACGATTTTTGAAATTTATAAGACGTACAATATGCTTCTGCTGACAATAAAGTGGTTTTAATTTACTTTTATGGGTACTACCTCGTGCAATATTAGCATAATTAATATGACAGTGAATAAAATAGTATTATAGTTGATTTAATGAATGTTTATTTAAAACGTTTCTTGCTTTATATAAAACTGGAATGCTTTTTGCAATTTTGTTGCACAAATGTTTGATGTAATTCTTCCATGATGAATTTTCATCAACAATGATACCTAGAAAATTTGTGAAAATTACTCTTTTTATTTGAATATTTTCAATATGAAGAAGGAGCATATAGTAATACTTGGAAGTAAATGTTTTTTAAATCATGGATGAAAGAAAGTCAATTTAGTTTTATCAATGTTGAGTGAAAGTTTATTTGACTTAAACCAGTCAGATATTTTTGTTATTTTAATTTTTATATCATAAAAAAGTTTATTGATGTTATTATTAGATAGGAATAGGTTTGTACCATCAGCAAACATTATAGTTGTTAATTATGAGACTTCATGGAGATCGTTAGCATAAATAAGAAATAATAACCCGACGGGCATACGAACATTTAATCAACGTTTAAGTAATGTTCGTTCTAAATGTTTAGATTTAATTTAGTTTTGATTTAGAACGTAGGTCAATCGAATGTTCCATTTAAACCGAATCTAAATGGTTCGTTTTAAATGCTATTTAAACTCCATCTAAATCTTTCGTTTTAAACGTCGTCTAAATTTTATAAATTTACGTTTCTTTAATTTATATGCTTCTTTAAATAAGCGCCGTAAAGAAAAGTCAAACGTTGAACGCGTAACTACTCATAAAATAAAAATAAATACTCATAAACGAATCAAACATACAGATATTTTTTTTCATAAATGCAAGTCTTAAACATATTTACACTAATTTTAATTATTATAATATGAATTATCGTATTTATCATTATCATGATCGCTTCCATGACAATAAGCATCATCTTTGCTTGAATCGTTCAAGCCAGCCTCTCCATCTTGAGAATTGGAAAAATGGGCGCCACCTTTCCCAGTGCCACCTAAACGAAACGGAGCCATTCTAAGATGAGAACCAATGCACGAATGTATTTCGGACAAAGAAGACGTAGAATATCGTTTCAATACACACTCTAAAAATAATTTAAAAAAATCAATAAACATCTTCATTCAATTCATATAAATCATTTATTCGACAATTTTATAAATTCGTAGTGTGTACTGAGTAGATTTGAATTATAACCTGAGTTTGAATTTAATTTCAATTACAAAAAATATAAAAATAATATTTTACCAACAACAAGTTGACACAGAGCAGAGTCTCTAAACGGAAGCTTTTTAAGAGAACCTTTACCATCCATACTCAAATGAGACATAACAAAATTTGTAAAAAGTCTTTTCAATAGATTCTTAGAAGTATCTTTAATGGATGACCCTCCGATTCGTTGAAGAAGGCGAAGCTACAAAGAAATTATTTATAAATGCTACTTTTCATTACACATGGGATTCTAATTAATACAAAAACAAAAGTCTTGCCACCTCAATGAAAGCAAAACATATTTTCTGACATCAAAACAAACATTATATAGACGTTAAAAACCTTTCTGGGAAAGAGGATAAAAACAATTAGCTATACACTTACTAAAATTGTTCGATTAGCAAGAACTCCACATTGCTCCTCTAATTTTCTGTATCCATTCAAGGTCCCAATAGCTCCAGCTATAACTTCTAGATGGACCTCAGCAACAGTCTCTAAACTTGGTACGGCCATCATTTCCACTGCTATTCGTAAATCTTTAATTTCGTTAGCCATATTTGATAACTGATAAAGAACTTTTCTCTGAAACTCTGTAAAATATATAACATTTATATAAAAACCTTATTAAAAAAACTACACAAATTTCGTTATAACTGTTCACAGTGATAGGTTGATAATAGATAGCACAATTGCAAAGCAACTGCCTTATCTACAGTAAAAAAAAACAGCCGAATTAAAAAATATATTATTAAATAATATATAAATAAGGTTTGATAACTTACTCCCATTATCGATTTCATTTTCTTGAGGAGCAGTTGGCTCACTCAGTATCATGTTTGCTTGAAACTTTCTATTTAATGCTGATAGTTTCACTACAATATAAATAATTATACAATTACATTGGGTGTTGTAAATCAAAACTTATTTAGAAACTTCATTAAATTTTTGCAGTATATATGTAAATCAGACCCCATATACTATACAACATTATACTATAAATAAACAATAACTAATATCATTATTACAGTTAATTCTAGATATCTCTAATATTTACCAAATCCCTTGGATATTACACTTAAGTTAAAAATTAAGTATTACTTGATCGATCTATTACATTGTCTTTTGATGTGGCAGCTCTCTGTCTGAATATTGGTATTTTAGAATCAAATTTTCGGGGTAACAGAAAAGGAGAAAGTGCTGATTGGTTAGCTATAATGTAAATAACTATATAGTTACATTATTTATGCAAAGTTGTTTTCAATGAAAATTTACTAAATTTTCCTAAATTTGATTTAAAAAAGTTTATCCTTAAAAGGATAAAGGATTAAATATGTTCATAAGTCGTAAAAGTTAGTAGGTCTAAATCTGAAGATTATTTAAAAGTGAAGGTGGTCTATATCAAAGATATAAATTTAGACATCTTACTTGATTGATCCATTTTATTTTCTTTTGGTATATTCACCATGCTTGATTTGAATGAAGGTATCTTAGAATAACAGCTTGAAAGACCAGGTGACTGTGGAATTGGTGATAGTTTAGCTACAATGTAAATCTCAGGGTATACTTTTGAGATATAACCATTACAATTATTATTAGTATTCAAAGATATAAAGTACAACAACTTACTTGCATGATCACTTTTATATCCTTGTGGTACCACATCCACAACCTTTTTATATAGTGAAATATTTGATGGTAACATTTTGCCTAATTTAGCAGGTGGCTGTGGAAATGTAGATAGTTTTACTATTTTAAAAATAAAATACAATTACAGCAAGTGTAAAAAATTATTTTTAATAACTGTTTTATTACAAAATACATACACATAACACTATTATTACTATTATTATGTAGGCTATTATTAGCTCCTGCTCTACTCTTCATAAAATTACTAATTAATGAACTTGTTTCTTCACGCAGCAGCCTTGTTCGTCAAGGTTTGTGTTTCAGAGTTATGAAGTTGAGAGAGGGTTGAAACTGCAAGTAGCCTCTTCGATTGTAGTGGTCATCTCAGCCTTTAGGGAGGTGAATTAACATAAAAAATATATATTCTTACTTTCTGTATTAATATCAACATCAACTTCTTCCTCGCCTGAAAAAAACAAAGTGTTTTACTAGAGCTGTATTAAAGTAGTGGTATTATATCCGAATAAATAACTTCAATTTTGATTAAAATAATGCAAAATTATAGATTGATAATAAGTTTTAAATATTATATTTTATATATTGTTTGTCAGTTTTTGTATATTTCACATATGTTATTATTTTCAGTTTATATATTCTATTTACTATTTATATGAGTATTAACAAATTAAAGTAAAACCTTCAAAAAAAGTTGTACAAGCAGTACGCTTGCGCTTTTTTGAAACTTGCTGATTATCTTCTTCAGTTTCTGTAGTTAAATCATAATTATTACAATCCTCGTAGCAATCTGTAAAAGAAATAAGAAAACATTTAATTTATCTAAAGAAGTTATTGACAAATAAATTCTTTTAACAAGTAATGACTAAATTCTTTAACATTTTGCGAATGTAAATTATGAAGCTGTTGTCAAAAAATAAACACAAAACCTGAAGTAATTTTTATTTTTATTAGTTTAAAAAGTCGCCAATTTTCATTAGGTTCTACTCCTTCTTTCATTAATTTAAACGCATTCATTTTGGATGGGGGCCACATAACTACTTTTCCCCGCACCCATGCGGATGGCAAGACTCCTTCTTCCTCACGATTTTCTTCCAACCAAACAGCCCGGTGATATGACATTTTACTAAAATGTTAATACTCTTTTTATTGTAGGTACATCAACACATAACATAAACTTGTAACTAAACTTGTTTAAAAGTGTTTAATATAAGTTTAGTCATTTACAAATACATAAATATTATTTTACTAGTACATATAAATAGTAGTTTAATTATTGTTATTATCACTTGTTTCAGCTAAACAAGACACCAATAGAAGTTATTATCAGAGGAGATGGTTATGAAAATTTCTATATTAATTACTCTTTAAAATTTTAAGATTAATATCTAAAATTATTTAGATTTACATTAAAAGTAAACAAAATCGAAACAAAAATTAAAAAAAAATTAAAAAGTTAAAACATAGGAAAATAAAATCACAACTTAATATACCTAAAATAAATTTACAATAAATTACACCAAATGAAAATATTAATAAAAAAAGAAGCTATAATAACTCTTTGATTAACTACGAAGGCTAAAAAATATATAGCTTTTTTCACTCATAGTGCTAACCTAGTATACTATGAAATATCTTCCTTAAATTAAAAATCACATTAGGCATATTAGCATATTTAAACATATTAAACATATAGACATAAAAACATATTTAAAACTATATTAGAGGGAGATAAATATAAAAAGAAATGTTTTTGAATATGTATTTATCAACTTTAATTTAACTCAAGACTAAAATTATTTCAATTGTTCGATGGATAATTTTCTGTTGCCTTTGATTAAGTTAACCATAATAGTATTATTAGTAAAATAATTTAGCACTCTTTTGAATGAAGAAGAGGCATAACACAAAGCCACCATTACAGGGAAACTTCATAGCCTTTTTCTCGATTTCTGCAAATTTCACATTCTTCGATTTAGAATGCTTATAAGTATTGTTCACAAAATAAATGTCTAAAAGGTCAGATGAGCATGGCTCAATAAAAAATGGATGCAAATTAGCAAAACTGAACACATAACACATATATGAATCTTTTAAAACCTCATATACCTCCACAAATTGTCCATTTTTTAGTTGTGCAAATGAATCTCTATATGTTGTTGACAATTTAAAGACCGGTGTTGTTGCATTTGTAATTTCAGAGTATTTATGGGCATTTTCATATTCTTGAATTCTTTTTGCTACTTGTACAGCAGGATTTGAAGAGCCTCTTACATATCTTTTCAATGTTTGCAGATAATTTTCAAAAGGAAAAGCACTGATCTCATCAAGTGGTAAACCAAAAAACTCTACATCATCTCCTATATGCAGCAAATGATGAATATTGTATACAACAAAATCATTACCATATAATTTTTGAGAATTCTCAACAAAATGTCTAAGCAAATCTTTTGCATAGTTCAACATGTTATTTCTTCTGTCATTTGATGGTGTGAGTAGAATTGATGCACCAACAGAAAGTGTTAAAAAATGTTTGTAAAGCTCAGAATTCAAAATTCTCTTTAAGACAATAGGCCCTGTGTATAATAAGAATTGCCGGAATTCAGTGGCTTTCCATCTATCAAGGTCCAACAAAGATCTAGGGCGTCTAACAAACTCACTTGGTATGAATTTTCGTAAATCCAAAAGGTTTTCAGAAACTTGCAATATGTTGTTGTTGCTTAATTTCACTTTTCTATTACCTTTTTTCAATGTTTGAAGTATACGACGTACAACACCTAAGCATATCAAATGCATATAGTCAAGTGGAAAAATGCTGATACATTGGTCTGTTATTTCATTGAAAGGCGAAGCTCCGTGTTGATGACTTCTAAGGAATTCAAGATTTTTAAAACTGTCATCTGTACGCCTTCCAGCATTGAAGCAATCAGAAGAAACAAACGTTGTTCGCCTGTTAGTTGATGTACCAACAGCAAGACAGCGTTCACATGCATGCAGGCTATTGTGACCAACAATATTTTTCAGAAAAGATCTTGCTAGAGCATCACAAATAACTGAGTGCAAAATAACTGTATAATTTTTACCATTATGAGTGACACTATTACATTTTAAAAATTTATATTCATCAATAAAATCCTTTAAGAATTCTTTAACACAGTTTGGCTTACTATCTCCTTGATATAAGGCAACAATTGTGGGTGAACTATGATTAACAGCAGAAAGAATCGGCCAAAATTGTCTTTTCGATGATCTAAACAATGATATACCGTCAACATTTATTTGCAGATTGAGTATATTGCTGCAAGTGCCTTGATTTATTGAATTCTGTAAACATTTGGTAAGGCCAAAATAAATGTATTTTCCACCACATTTTTCCTGAACCTGTATAGCTTGAGGTGTTTGTAAAAGAGTACGGCTATCTTTAGGCAGCTCGCACCCATGTTTTCTCAACAAGGCTAGCAAACCATTACATGATAAACGTGTGAGTTTTGCATTAACAACCCATTGAGCTAGATCGTATTGAAAAGATCTATTGCCAACAACTTCTATATCACAATAATGTTCATCGTCTGAGCTGCTATTAGGTGGTACTATGTCGATGTCAATATCATCTATATCACAATGTTCTTCATCGGAACTACTGTAAGGTGGTACTATGTCAATGTCAAGTCTATAGGTATCACTATTAAATAAATTATCAGTTATATTATTTGCAATAGAAGATAAAGCGAATAAATTTTCTGCATTAGTTGAAGAATTTGATAACACAGGAGGTTCACATTTAAAGCAATTATTTGCATCTTTAACAACTTTTCTATATTTTCGCATATACTCTGCTTTTGCACTCATACGAATGATCTAAAAAATCAATTAAATAAAATATTAGGTAACAGCGCTCGAAATAACAGCCGATCAACGATCAATGATCGGCTATTTTTAAAGGAAATTTAGAAAAATTCGAGGGAAAATAAGCTGTTTTTGTCAAAAAATTACATTTGATCGGCAAGTTTTAAAAAACTATTTCGAGCGCTGAGGTAATGTTATTTTTTATTTACAAACTTATTTTTTTTTATATAATTTATATGAATATTATTATAGATAAGATAATAAGAGTTTAAGATATTATAACTAAATAATAAACTTAATAACAACGTACAATTAGATTATTTGTAACAATAATAATAATTATTATTAATATTTTATTAATCACCCTCTGTAAAATAAATTTACAAGGTAAAAACACAAACTAAGAAATAGAGATAAAAAAAAGTATTATTTAGGAATGTTTTCTTCAAGTGTCTTTTCAAAAATTGTTCGCTGTTCTTTAACATTCCAACATTAAACCGCGTGTACCAAAATATGAAGAGTAGCTTCAGGAATTACTTCCTGTAAGACTTTAAGTTTTACTTTTTTTTTAACCAGCATTAAGGTGTTCATATTCAGTTTATGATTATCACATAATTCTTTTATATTGTCTAAAAAAGAAAATTTAGCTGAACAGTAGTTAAGTTGGGAGTTACTGATTTCAAAGGTTACTTTATTGTTTAAAGGGCGGATAAATAGATTTTTTTTTTTTTAATGTATATAACTTGACATCTCCTTAATTTTAAATAGAGAGTGTATATAGTTAATTTTAAGTAGAGAGTGTATATAGTATAGAGAGTGTATATAGTACTTTAAATAGAGAGTGTATATACTTGGAGACATTAAAAATTGATTTAACTGCGTTCCTTCCAAATGAGTAGAGTCTTTTCATTGTTGCATCTTTATTTTCACAGATTTATTATTATTATTATTATGGAGATTATTATTATGAAGATTAAGATTAAATAATTACGCTAATAAAGTAAATAAAACAAATTAGAAACAAAAACAGTAGTTTAAAAAATGTAAAAGGTAAAAACTATACTTTTTTTTTAATGAGTTATAAAATTATTTTTTTATACACAAGTTAAAGATAAGGAAATCAAACATATTGACAACAGAGTTTGTCAAGGTTTGTGTTTCTGTATTAAAGAGTTACACCGCTGCCCAAATTTTTTCTCAGAATAGGCCCTGTATATATATATATATATATATATATATATATATATATATATATATATATATATATATATATATATATATATATATATATATATATATATATATATATATATATATATATATAAACATCAGTGGTAAGATTCAAATAATTTCACAACGGGTTCTGTGTGTCCAAGAAAAAGAAGTAGTAAAATTTTTTAAATACGAAAACTAGTATTGTTACGTAGATAAAGCGTTACATAAAGAATTATTAAAATGAAAATATTTGTATGTATGTATGTATGTATGCATATATATATATATATATATATATATATATATATATATATATATATATATATATATATCTGTTTGTGTAGTTATATCAGGATGTATATGCATGTATGTGTGAATGTGTGTAAATCACAGTGTAATTTACACTTTATTACATTTCTTTTACTTAAAAATTGAAAGACTTATAATGATTTGTTTTAACTTTTAACAAGTCACTTCTATTTTAAAAGTCTTTTTCTTTTTAAAAAAAAGGACGAATGTAAAATAAAATAAATACAATAAAAAAATATAAATATAGATTGAATCAAAATCAAAAAAGATTACAAAATCCTAATTCTAAAAAAAATGCATTTATAGCCCTTATTCTCTCAAGTAGTTGAGATTCACACTTAATATTTATTTGCACTACATTGACAATGTCTCAAGTACTTGAGAGAATAAGGGCTATAAATGCATTTTTTTTTTAATTAGGATTTTGTAATCTTTTTTGATTTTGATTTAATCTATATTTATATTTTTATATTCATGTAGCCTACAAGTCAAGTACCTATTATGTGAATAACATTCTATAAGAATTATAATAAGAAACTTATTAATTTATCTGTATTTTACCTCTTTTGCAATCTTTTAACTACTTCTTGGTTTGATACAAACTATTTCAAATCTTGTAAAACCACTTTTTTCTGTAATACAAACTGCTTCAATTCAATTAAATAATACCAATCTTAATAACTTTCATAACTAAACCTTTTTTCAAATTTTTGTGATATTTATGCGAATTATTATAGACTAATAGTCTATTTTAATAACAGTCTAAGTATAGTTTTTTATGCCATTATAAAATCAGATTAAATAACGATTTTAAATATGGTAACAAGTATGTTTTAATATACAAACAGGCATGTCTAAAGGTCATTATCAAAAAGTTAATCCTCCTAAAACATCTGTTAACTCAATTTTTGTTTACTCAAATTTCTTTTAAGTTTTCTAAACTACTATCTACATAATGTAATATTCATATGAAATTCAAATTTTTAAACAATAATGAAAGATCCAAAATGTCTGTTTCATTCTGTGCAAAATCCCTTCTCGGCTAATCGAAGTAACGGATTTAGCGCTTAAACGCTAACTAAATATTCAGAACTCATTTAGAATTGATTCCTAATCGTTTAGAACGACGTAAATGTCATCTAAACGCAAATTAAATATTCAGAACACGTTTAGAATAGATTCCTAAACGTTTAGATCGACGTAAATGCCATCTAAACGTGATCTAAACCAATTTTAAACCATTAAATGCCCGTTGGGAAGGGTCCTAGTATAGATCCCTGTGGAACTCCACAGGTTATATTTAGATAATCTATCTTTAGATAATCTTGTGAAGAACATAAACAAATTTTTTGCGATGTTTTAAATAAATAAAACTCCCGCGGTGCTCTGTGATAAGACCGAAGGACTTCTGGGAGCACCTTAAATAACTACAAAAAAAAAAAAAAAAAAAAAAAAAAAAAATAGCTTTTTAGTAGTTTTAAAACATTACCGGTGATACAATAATGTTCAAGTTTTTTAAACAGTATTTCATGGTCAATTGCGTCAAAAGCCTTAGATAAGTCTATAAAGACACCTAAAGTAAACTCTGACTTTTCGAATGAATCGGTTATAATACAAGTAAGATGAATTGTTGCATGTTCAGTAGAGTTATTTTTTTTAAACCGTATTGATTTATGTAAAGTATATTATTAACAGCAAAACGATTAGATATTTGGTTGAACATAATTCTTTCTAAAATTTTTGAAAAACAGAGAGGATAGATATTGGTCAATAATTACTGACATTTGATTGTTCACTTCCTCTAAATATAGGCGTTGTTTTGGCTATTTTCAATTGATCGGGGAAAATTGATTTTTTGTTAAATTCCTATACTTTTTTGCCCACTCCAGCCTTTTTTACATTATTTTTGGTGTCAGTTTAAGCTTCTTAGCTGGATATCGTGAAATGCAACAAAGATCGTGCAGACGACGTTGAACCATTCTCTTCTAAATAGATTGGTTCAGCTTATTAGTTATTTCATTGTTGGCAGCCTGTCTATTTTCTAGAACAATCCTCGTAAGTATTCTTTTCCCGGGTGGTGTTAGGATTCTCTTCTTTCCACATTTACTAACCCTTTTTGGCATCAAGTATTAACCATTTTTTGTGTGTACATTTTGTACAGAAACCCGCAAAATACCACATTTTCTGGCAATTTCTTGTTGAAAAAGATTAGCATTTATTAAAAGTGCCCTGATTTCAGCAACTTTTTGTGGTAACAAGTCATTTTTTTCCCCATAACTAAAATAAGAAATCAGATTTCAGTACTACAGTTAAGAATTAGCTTTGGTACTCATAACTTTAAAAATATCAAATCAAATACATTTATTTTTACTTTAAAATAAAAAGAAATATTCAAGAAACAAAATTTTTAGTGATTAAAATAAATATTTTGACGATAACCGAATAAACAAATTCAAAACTCTGGTAATAAAACTTAACAAGTGTACAGTAAAAAGATTATAATTAAAATGATATCATACAAAATGGCTATCAAAAGTGACAGTGTCGTCAATAGCAAAAAAAAAAAGGACTGGTTTTTTAAATTAGCACTTTATTTCAAACAAAAGATTAACTTTCAAAATGGATTTTTACTTTTCATATGAAAAAAATGAGATTAAACTTCAAAATGATCAAAATTCATCGGTGGCCATAATAAATTGTCACACGACTGTATCTAAAACAACACACATGATCTTTTTTATCAAAGTTCCATTTGTAAAACTCCTCAAGTAAAGTTTTATATAGTGCTATTGCAGTATGCGCGTCAATATCAATAAAATTAAGTATATGTTTTTTTAGTCTCCAAATATTATCAATATTGTGGCAGGTAAGGGCAATCTAGGATTTATTTTGAATAGACGTCCACAAATAACTTGTTAAATTAATTCAACATTGTAGCTTTTCCATTTCACCATATAAATTTTCCTTTTCATCTTCAAAGCTTTGCAAACAATCATTTGTAATTATATGTCGACTAACCATTTAAAAAGAAGTTTTATATTTTTACTATACTCTCTAAAACCGTATTGTTCAACAAATGAAAAAGGATATTTGTGTAGTAATATCATGCGGGCCAAGTCGATTTTGCTTGTTTCTTGATTAAATTTGATTATATGTATATATTCTTGAATAAATGTATATATATATATATATATATATATATATATATATATATATATATATATATATATATATATATATATATATATATATATATATATATATATATATATATATATATATTTATATATATATGTATATATGCATATATATTACGGTGTCCCAGAAAAAAAATATTTTTGAATTCAGCATGTCAATCCTCCTTATTTGGTCCCAGTAGACCACAAAAGAAAAATTTCTGTGTTTAAAGTCACTGTTTAGCTGAAAAAGGTGTTTTAGAAAAAAATTGCATATAAATTTTAATGAGTTTTTTTTTGCATTTATTCATTGAAACTCCAGTAGTATTAAATATTTTTATTTAAACTAAAAGATATTCATCTAATGCGTTAATTCTGACTGCTATACTTATTGCAGCTTTGAAAAAGTTATTTGAAAAATTATTTTATTTTTTATTATAATGGCATTTTTATACGCAACATATTATACATGTTTACTCACTATATTTTTAGACTTTATATTTTTATTTTTATAAATTTTAAAAATATGAAAATAAACTTTTAAATATTTTTAGGTATTTTAAGATCATCTTATATCCATGGCTCTGCCTTAAATTTAGTGTTGTATTTTTTAAGCTTAATCTTAGCATCATGTTTTGAAAATATGAATGTGTATATAGCAGTTAACACTTTAAATTATAGTTTCTAAGAAGGGAAGGCAATGATTAAAACTATTGTTTTGTAATTTTATTAGAACTTATATTTTGAATAAAAATAAACAATATGTTAACAACCATTATTAATAAAGCATTGATTTTCGTCCTTAACAATATTTGGCATTTGTTTATATTTTCATGTTGTTTTTTTTTTTTGACAAAGTTAAATACATGAATATATTAATAATTTCCTAACATATATATCATATATTATATGTCATAAATGACTTTACAATTGTTCATTATGAGTTTTGCAAAGCTATTGATAGCATAGTATAAGGTGTAGAATATGTATTATCTCAACTATTACACAGAATAAAAGTTATAAAATCTTATTACGCGTCATTTCTTCAAACTAAAAGCAAAAATCTAAGCAAATTGCAGTAGTCAACAGCAAATTTTCAGAAAATAAAAATTGTTAATAACTTTAATGTCCAAATGAGAAAATTCCAACTGAAGTTATTCAGTTGATTTGAAAGATACAAAACAAATTTATTATAAGAGGGTAGTTTTGACATAAAAACATGCTCCCTATTTTTCAAAAAAGATATTTTTAATTGGAGTTGCTCTATAAACTTTCAGTTTTGTAGTCCAAGAAAAAGTTCTTAAATGGTATTTAATGTTGTTTACCTGTTTTAAGTCACAGAATCATATACTTTTTATGCAAATGATGAAATGCAAAAACCATGGACTATTGTTGGATGAAAATATTATTAGATTTAAATTAATGTCTTCTAGAAAATATATGCAGTTGTTAAAAAAAAAGGTTAATAATAGAGATTTTGGAGAAAATAAAAATCCATATCAGTTTGTAATAATAAGTTCTATTTTATGTCAATGAGATAGTTTTATCTTTTTCTGACGAAAGTGTGCCAGAAATTGTGTCCAAAATTTTGTTTATAATTTTGTTTAAAATTTATATATATATATATATATATATATATATATATATATATATATATATATATATATATATATATATATATATATATATATATATATATATATATATATATATATATACGGCTGCTATATAAATATATATATGTATATATATATATTTATATTATATATATATATATATATATATATATATATATATATATATATATATATATATATATAAATATATATACATATATAAACCGTAACCGTAAACCACCAGAAAAGTTTTTGGCCTCAAAGTCATTCTTACGCTGAAGAAGGTGTTTTAGAAAAAAATTTGAGTTTTTTTGCATTTAAGTTTTTTTTGCATTTAATTAAATGGTTAAAACTCTTCAAATACATTTAGAAATACAAAAAATATATTTTTAATAAATTATCAGTTATTAGGATGTTGAAGAACAGTATATATTGTACACTGCGACCATTTTCTATAGACGCATATGGAATTTAGCGGATTTACAGTGTTACAGTGGTAATAAAATTGTTCTAACAGTACTTTTAAATAAGTATACGTAAGAAAACGATGATCCATTATGCATCTGATTATTAATTGTCTTGATTCTATTAAAATAATTAAGTTTTTAATATTCACATGGCAATTTTCTATAGACGCACTAAAGTTTTTACGAGTTTTTTCGCAAATTTCTTATATTCTGTGGTATTTTTTATTTTGTGAGTCGAAATTAAGTTGAACTAAACCAAATGCCGAAAGGAAAGATCCTTACCGATATTGAAAAAGGTTAAATATTGGCTTTTCATCGAGAAAAAGTTCCAAATCGAGAAACTGCTAGAAGATTGAAAAGATCAGATCACGTTATCCGTAATTTTTTGAAAAATCCAGCAGATTATGCAACAATCAAGAGGAAACCAAAGAAATCTAAGGTTTCAAGTTGTGAAAAACGCAGAATTGTTCAACTCGCATCAAATTCATCAAAAAGTTTGAAAACAATTAAGTCAGATTTGGGTTTAAATGTTTGCAAGGAGACGGTTAGGAA